GGGTTGGTTAAATTGTGTGTGTCCCAACTTTTTTGTAGAATTACATTCAAAAGCTTGAAAAAAAGTTGTTGTTGGGGCTCTTCCCCGGTGAATATTTAGAATACCCAGGTGATGACAGGTAAGGCATCAAGAAAATCATACTGTGTTTGTAAATTCAAAACATGTCCTACATTTTAATGCTCTGAAATCGGGTTGGTTAAATTGTGTGTGTCCCAACTTTTTGTAGAATTACATTCAAAAGCTTTAAAAAAAAGACGAGATTCAAGAAGTGAGTACTAAATTTTTTTCTTATGTACATTTGTTATTAATTGTTATAAAAGTAACTAGAGTGTAAAAATTAGAAACTTGTTAGGTTTTATAAAAAAAACTTAAATGAGAAGTACAGTAAATAAACCAATTACTCGTGATACAGCAGATGTACAAGTTGTGAGCTCGAGATTGTGTAATTTGACAGGTAATTCAATCATGTTTTTATAGAAAGTAAGTTCAACTGTAAAGAGATAAAACTAAATTAAAAATCCTTTAGCTTTAGTTCTAGAAATAAATAGCATGTAATTGTATGTTACAGCGTGCAGTCGATCGAGATAGATGAAGTAATTTAGATTTATTTTGTATATTTTTTGTTGTGTGGTTGTTACAAGGTTTGTTAAATTTACCAAGCTCTTATGCAGTTAGTGTTAGGGTGAATAAAATGTCAAATTCTATTTAAAAAAACATTGTTAATTTAGGAGATTATGCAATTGAAATGTGAAAACTATAAGATGATAAAGAGTATTTTTATTCTTAACATGAAAATCACTTTGAACTCGGGTTGACTCAATAAAAGTTTCTTAAATTCACAGACAAATCTTTAGTAAAAATAATTTATTAAAAAATGATTGTTTTGTTTAAAACAAACTTGTGATGTTTACTATTAAGTTTTATTAAGAAACACTACATTAAAAGTTATGTATAATTTCACGGTTACAAGATCAGTGAAGAAGGTTGATCCTGTGTATGGAGAGTTAATTGATATACTTAACATTAATCCCCCAGTAGGTCAGTGATAAGTTTATAAACTTAAAATGATAAAATCTGGGGTTTGATACTCCATGGTAGACACATTGAAGATAACCCATTGTGTAACTTTGAGGGAAAACAAAACAATCAAAGACAACAGAAATTTAGTTGTGATGATCTATTGGTTTATACTTGTACTATCTTTGTTGTGAGTAATTATATCACGCAGATTACTACATGATAAATATTTCAGTGATGACTAGAGTAAAATTAGTAGTATAACATTTTCTTGACAAAATCATGAAACAACTATAGATATAATGATGCTATTATTTTGGAAAGGTTTGTATCATATACATAAATACTTTTACGGTTTTGGGAAAGAACTTAAAGCTGTAGATTTATATATATACATATATTGTTATATCGCATTACTGTGATTGGTCCAGGTTGTCAACTTACTGTCATAGCGGATAATGTCATAGTGCCTACCAACAATTATCGTAATCAACAGTTTGAAAGCTATTCAAAGGTTCTTTTGCAAATAAGTAGTCCAAAAGTATATGTAAGGCCTCTTTGTATAGCTTTGATGTTTAATTTTTGTAAATCTCTGTTTCACAGGACATTTTACCGCTTTGAAGCAGCATGGGACAGCTCTCTTCACAGTTCTGTGTTACTTAATCGGGTGACACCTTACGGAGAACGTGTTTACATGACTATCTCTGCATACTTAGACGTGAGTTGAGTGCTGTTAAAATAAGTTCTCTTTTGTAATCAGTGAAGAAACTGTTCTTACACTAACTGAAGAAAGCAATGTGCTCATAACTATTTTTAAGACTGCACAAAAGAAACTAAAGTTTATGCACAAAGCAAATGTGCATTCAATAAATGTTTTGCATGCGTGCCTCTAAAAGCAAAAACTACTTTCGCATTATCTTTTAAAACTTTTAATAAAAAGAAAATGTATCACTGAAGCAATCAAAGATTTATTGTGTAATTTTTCAATAGGCTGATCGATTTGGAAAAGTTCTTTAAAAGATTGTGTTTGTGGAAATCAATGTACTAATACAAAAATCTCTACTATAATACTAATAAAGTGAGTGACACGAGTTTAGTGTTTAGCCTAGTTTGATTTACCATTAATAAACTAAGTGAGTATTTAAAACCATTTTAATATCAATATTTTTTAGTTGGAGAACTGTGCCCAGCCAGCAATAGTTACTAAGGACTTGTGCTTAATTATCTATGGCAGGGATGCACGAACTGGTCCAAGGTAAAAATCTTTAACTTTATATTTAATTCCCCTTACTTATCATACTTGAGAGAAGGTTTAGACATGGAAGAGTATACTTGAAAGATGTTGTTATCTTTATGAAATGATATATCTGATAAATGTATTACTAGGAGGCTTAATTTAGAATCCTTTTTTTTGTGTGAATTTCAAAGAAATAAATTTTACCCTCAAAACTCTTACTATTTATTAAAACTTTCTAAACGTTTATTTGGAAACTAGATGTGGCCTAATGATTAGTCTGTTGGGTGTGTGGGTTTAAAGGTTTTAAGTTTGAGACTTGATACCATTGATATTGCAATGATTATGTTATTTGGTGCAAAATGACAGCCTTTTTTTTTGGCAGCTTTTGCTTCTGGCTGGCTGCTTTCACTTTGGTCAGTAATTCAAAATTATGGAAGTTATATTTGAATTCAAGGAGCATCTGACTTTCCTGTTTAGCCCACATTGTACATAAAGTGCTGTTCAGGTGAACATTTCAATTTCAAGATCTAAAAGCTCATCAGAAAGGCCATTGAAGTAGAGCATTTTTAAAAAAAAATGTTTTAATCATTTTCTGTGGGTATTATTAAATATATTAGAAAAAAAACTAAATTTATTGAAACGGACATGACCAAAGAGTATTTCAGAATTACTTTTATTGAAATAGATATGATGGAATGGCCAGTTGGCTAGAGAGGTTATAATGCAGCTGTTGTGTGCTATTAGAAGTTTCTCGTACATGATCAAATCGCAGGTGTTTATTAAAATAAAATTACTATTTAGAGTTGATTTAAATACTTGGACACTTCTATTGGGAAAACCTGTTTATATACAAGATGCAAATGAACGATGTCACATTTTTATACAAGGAACATGTTGCCAAGTGGAATAGAAGAAGTAAAAGAGCTAAATTTTGAGTGTAAAGATAAAAATAAAAAAAGCTGCTTCTCAATATTGCCACACTTAGTGCTGTGATGTTTCAGAGAGAAATCCAGTATGTTTTCCAGAATCACGTTCATCACTTAAGAAAGTTTTTTTTTTCAATACAAAGAGACATATTGTTGCATTGAAGAAAAAAAAAGTTTATTTTTTAATACATCTATATATGCAGATGTACAACTGGAAAAACAAATATATTTAGTTACTGTCATAACAGATGACCTGGCTGAGAATGTAATGTTTGAAAAAGGAAACATATTTGGTTTGCAATTTGATATTTTGATACAATGGAAGTGGCTTTGGTTTACAGACTGTTTATTTACATCCAGTTCTTTTGGAATTCCTCAACAATTTGGCCTAATGATTAGGCCTAATGGTTAACATGCTAAACTGTGTATCTGAGGATCCCTTGTTGGTGTCCCATTGCAGCAGAAATGCACTCTGTACTTTGAGTCATTATAAGATTGACACTATATAATTAAAGGTTTCTAAGGGCTGGTGTAGTGTGTTATCTGTATTTCCATTCTGTTAATGCAGTTAATCATCGTGTAGATTTGGCCAAACTTCCGAAACAATCATCGGCAAACTTACCAATCACCGTCATGGAAAATATGTCAACCATTCCACTAAAAAGTCTTGAAATTTTTATTTTGAATAAACTTTGAAAATATTATAAATCTTGAAATACAAATACTAAACCAGAGAGTAGTAAACTAATCTAGGCATAAAAGATAGTCATTACAGATTATCTAAGTACATAACAAGTTAATAATTATGATACAGCCTCGTACATTATTAATGTTTAACAATGATTATCATTTTTTAAACATTTCCTAAAATTTTTATGTGGAACTGAAACTGTGTTTAAAAAAAAATTAAACCTTCTTCACGTGACCTAATAAAAGAATGGCATTAAATCTTTGAAGTTTTATCAAACAGTTTTAGTTACTTGATTTAACCTCTTCATTCCCTCTCCTTTCGTTTTTTTTTTTTGACAGATAAAATGTAATTCATCACACTCTCTCTACCTTTTTAATGGTCTTGAATTATTGGAATTGTTAGTGAGTAAAAATGTGTTAATGTTTCCATTTTGTGTTTCACTTTTGTGATGCATGGACTTTCTGAAAGTCTGAACAGGACTATTTTGCATTACAGACTCAATACGAATGCCAGATCGCTTCGTCACCTGTTTACTAGTGCGTACAGAAATTCTGATGCTAATCATGTAACTGGAGTATATGAAATGGTTCTGAAGCGTGCAGCTGATTCTGGAAGTCCTGGTGAGTAAAATATCAGTTTTCATAAAAATCCATGTGTCATCTCAGATCTGATTAAATTACAGAGATGTTTCATGCTTATGATGTGTAAAATGTTTGAAGTTTACTTTGGTTCATAAGACAACCATTTCCTTATTAGAGTGATTATAAGAAATAGAAACAGGGGAAGTTGCTGCCTTTTTTTTTCATTGGTTTTTACTTGAAAACATGATTCAGGTTGTGCATTATAGTGTGAAGCATAAAAAAGTTTTGTCATTAATGTATTAGTTTCCATTTCACACATATAAAACTTATTCACACAGTATTAATTCCCAGTTTTTCTTTTAAGAAAAATAAAAGTATAGACAAGGTACTGTCTATACTTACAA